ATATATATATAGATATATATATATATATATATATATAATATTAATTTCCAAAAACCTTAACTAAATTAAGAATATAGCTTGAAAATTATTATTACCAATTGTAGCAAGTAATTCCGAACAACAGAAATTGAATAATTCCCACAGCTCCTTATAGGAAGTTTTAAGAATGAAAACAATAAGGTATAGGATAATCTAAATTACAATATTGAAGTTTTGTGAATCATGAATATAAATAATTACATATAGAATATTTGTGAATCATGAATATAAATAATTACATGAGATGAGAGTACGAAGACTTAAGTTTTTACTTTTGTGACATTTGGATGATCAAGTTTATGCCACATAGTAACCTCCTGCCAAAATGATGCCCATAAATTTTATGTTCCGTAAAAAAATGGAATAAATAAACCCAATGAATATATTATTTATTAATTCTTTTGATGAGGTGAGTACTGTTGCAAATCTTTCTTCCTGTTTCTTAATTTGTGATGAAAGATTCCTTTCCGACAAAAACCTTGTGAAATAACAAAGCTATCTAAATTCTAAGATCAAATATTTCATTTGAGCAATAATCCTGAACAATATTAATTCTAATGACTTTTCACACCACATAACTCTTTCTTCAATGAAGTGGTTTTATGGAAATTGGACATTCTATGTTATTAATAATACACATAAATGATGTTCTGATTAATAATGAGGAATGACACCTTATACTCTCCCTACCAACTAACCTCCCCTGTAATATTCAGCCAAAAACATGTATATGAAAAATAAATAGTTGAACTTATATATGCTAGTGTTCAATTAGAAAAACCAGACAACATTAAACTAACATCCTCTGCAATATCTAGCCAGCAACTTGTATCTGGAAAAGAAAATAGCAGAACCCATATATACTGGTGTTTAATTACAAAACTAGACAAGAAACATTAAACTAACCTTTCTTGCAATATTTAGCTAGAAACACGTATCTGGAAAAGGAATAACATAACCTCACGTTGAGCGCCTGGCAGTGCGAGAATCGCGGCACCGAACCCATCGACGACGCTGCCGGAAGGGTAATACGGAACCCTGAGGAGCATCTTCTCAGCCTCGACCCTCTTCCTTTTGGCTGAGCTCTCGAGCTTAAACGTCAGTGTATCGTCGGACGAGAGGCTCCCGCGGAAGTTGGGAGGTTGGAGGGAGTCGAGGACGAGGACGGAGCGAGGCGCCATGCAGGCAGAGAGGAGGGTGCGTGCAAGGGTGAGGGCAGCGACGGCGAAGGGGATGACGGCGAGGAGGGCGGGAAAGGGGGAGCTTCGGGAAGAGGAGGGAGGCGGTGGGGTGGAGTGGCGGAGGAGGCGACGAAAGAAGGCGAGGGAGGGGGGTAGAGAGGGTGACGATGAGGAGGGAAGGGGTGTGGGGTTGGGAGATGGGGAAGGGTGTGGCGAGAGGTGGGGAAAGGGGTGTGAAGGTGTTCGTGGGGCACATATTAGGGTCTCACTTCAACATCGTCATAATAAAATCGATGTAGAATTGCTCATATTTACATTGTTTCTTCTCCCAACCGATGTAAATATGTTTGCATTTTCTTTTTATTTACAAGATTGTCACCGCATGATTTACATCAGTTCTAGTATAACCAATGTAAATATAACGATGTTAAAGAGTGTTTTTCTAGTAGTGATTGCAATACATTTTTTATTTACTTAATATCTGAACTGGCCTTTGCTCCATTTAGAAATCTTTCTTATTTTTCTAAGGACATCAAGAATGTTTGAATCCAATGTCAGGACCTTCAGATATGGCTTACGCAAGAATAGAATGTAAAAATGCGTCAAATTATGAAAATTAATAAAAATTTATAATCATCTCCAACTAAATTCGTTAATACAATTCATATCTAATATATCAATTATTTACACTATTAAATGTCAATCATTCCAAATTTATGCATTGAAATATGTGTACCAAATGCACTATTTGTCACAACCAATAAGTTAACTTTAATCAATCAAATAAATTATTTAATTTTTTTATATATGTTATTAATTTGGAGTATTCTTTGACTTTTTCAATGACCAATTTTCATATAAAAAAAACATGATAACCACTTTTAGTAGAATATTCTCTCCTAACTACGTGTTTCTCCATTTGCAAGATTTAAAGTAAACGTGTTCAGTACCATTCAGTCGAATGACATGTTGGTAATTAAATTATTTGGTTTGATTTGATAGATTTAATTTTTGCATTAACTAATAAGTAAAATTTTAAAAAAACTTTTATATAATTTTCCAATATTAAATGAATATATATATATATATATATATATATATTAATTTTGACAAGATTGATAGTAACTAATTAATGATTTTTAATTTAAATTAATTAATTAAATCAATAAGTTAACAAATTTATTAACAAATACATTAAATTTTTTTAACAATTTTTCAACTAAAAATATTAAACAATTATTACTACTATTTTTAAATAACATTACATATCTACCCAAAAAAAAATATAAATATTAAATAATCAATAAAAAATTAATCATCCAAATAATTTCAATATTAATTAACTACTTTAATTTAATATTACATATTAATCTTTCTCATAGTTGAAGTGACTTTTTGTAGTTATTGTATGGTGTTATTCATACATGTATACAAAATTTCTATTATCTAATTTTTGTCCTTCTATTTTCTTACATTCTTTTTGTTCTTACTGGCATAGCGGTACGGATAGTACACTTTTAATTTTATTGGTTTTCCTATTTTTCCTCACCTAAAAAATGTGTCTTTCAATGAATTTTTGCTTTAAATACTAATGGTAACATTATTTAACCACTGGTTTCCAAAGGAGGGAATGTGAAACACAGAACACTCAACCCAACCCTTTTAAGTCTCCCTAAAGATTCAAATTTGTGCGTTCACTGAAATCAAATGTTTGCTGCTCTTTTACTTCCTGAGGAACTTATAATGGAAATTCTATCACGGATTCCAGTAAAAGCTCTAATGCGATTCAAGTGTGTCTCTAAGCCTTGGAATTCCTCCATGTATACTCCTACATTTGTTAAATTACATTATCAAAGATCTTCTAGAAACACTCACGTCTTAATAGAATCAACTTATGGTGTCTCATCATGCTCTTTACATCACTTGTTGGAGGAACCATCCTCTGTTATTAAACCTGGACATGAAATATTAGAAAAAAATTATAATGTATTAATGGTCTGCAAAGGGTTGGTTTGTATACTCTATTTTGATATTCCTTATAAACAATATTTTGAATTCTGGGTTCAACTTTGGAACCCGGCCGCTAAGCTTATGTTTGAAGAATCGTCACGTTTCCGTATTTATGAAAACAATGATAAATTTGATGCGTTGAATCAAAAGTTTGGGTTTGGTTACAATGATCAAAGTGACATTTTCAAGGTGGTGGTAGTCCTTATGAATACCGAAGCACAACAAATGGAGGTGATATCTTACAACTTATTAGGTGACAAATGTTGGAAAAAGATTTTAACTTTGTCTAATTATCCCATTACGGGACATGAAATGATAGGAGAGTTTGTGAGTGGCACTATTAATTGGTTGGTAGATCATCCTAAGTTGTGTTCTCATCATCAAGGAAACATTGATACCATGGATCAAATGGAAATTTTATCTTTTGATATTAAGAATGAGACATGCATATATATGTCGATGCCCAGTCATGTTGATACTGAGCCTAATCTTAGGGTTCTAAAGGATTATTTGTGTCTTTATTATGATCACATGAAAACCCATTTGGTTGTTTGGCTAATGAGGGAATATGGAGATGATAAATCTTGGACTCAATTGCTGAATATAGGTTATGAGCATCTTCAAATTGACGAACCTATTGCTTTAATACAACATTGCATGCCTTTGTGCATGTCTGAAGATGAAGATGTCCTATTGCTAGAAAACTATGGATCATTTCACTTTTTCATTGTCTACAATAAGAGAGATAATATAGTATACCATTTATTTGAAGATCATTTATCGTCCTTTCGTGAATACGTTCCAAGTTTATTTCTGCCATATTGGAATTAAACTCTCTCCATGTACTTTGCTTTGCTTATATGAATTTATGTTAAATTATGTAAGTGATTTATGAACCTTTGCATTTAATATATGAACATGATAGTTGGATGATTTTATTGGCTATTACTATATTTGCTAAATGATTGAATGTTTTTGGATTGAATGAATTTAATTTACTTTATGTTTATAATGATCATTGAAAAAAATATGTTTGTCTTCCAAAATGAAAATTGATTTTCTCTCAAATATTTTATTCATACATTGATCTTCAAACATTTTTAAACAAAATACAGAAAGAAAAGAACATTTATTTTAAGTCTATACATAATAGTAATATCATTTGGTCTATAATTTACTTATAAAATACCAAAATTCTGTCAATCTTATTATGTTTGATATGTGTAATCTCACTTTAATTGCATTGCCCCGGTTGAAGTCTAAGAAAGGCTTTATTACTTTCCTCGAACATCTAATAACAAAAAATGAGCTAAGGTCATTCTTCTATTAAAATGGATTCTTTTAACTTTTTTTTTTTTTACTTCCAAATATAAATGATTCAAAGAGAGTATAGTAAAACAAGATTACTAATTTCTTCCCCTTTAAAATTTTAGCATCTAACTAAGACAATCGCTAGAATGTGGCCAATGTCGTTAGAAGTTGCTTACCACTAAATCGAAATAACATGACTTCTATTAACATCATATATGTTGCAATGACTCCCAAGCCATCTTATTTTGTCATCACATTCAACGGGTGAAAATCCTTTTCTAGTTCTGATCCAAATCTTAAAGTTTCAATAGCTCTACCATCAAGAGTTTTGTTGGATTATCATTATATAGTCATTGATTTCTACACTTGAAAAAATTCTCATCTGTCCCATGTGGTATCTGTGGAGTTGAAGCATGCAAGAAAGCATTGGTCTTCTTGTAGTTACCTAGTTGGACCTAGTTCTTGGCGTCGAGAATATCATATGGTCTAAGGTTTTGCCATTAACACAAATCCTTTCTGACCCACTCAGATTACATGGATTATTGTTTTCTCTTGAGCCGGTGTTTTGGGCATAGGTAATGTGATTCTCATGTCTCCAAACAAGTTTATTAAAATCAAGTAATGTGTTACTGAAAACACTCTAAGAAATTCAAGACTTGAGTTATTCTTTATTTCTACATTTATCCTTTTTTACCTTTATTTATTAAGAAACTAGCTAGTCATGCTATGTCCTACTCCTTTCAAGCTATTCTTACAATGATTTCAATGCATTTGGGTTGAATTAGTGAATCATTAATTGAATAACATGAAGTTATATATAATAAAAAATTTATCTTATTTATAACTTATAAATTTATAATTAATTATTTTAATATATATATATATATATATATACACCATAATTAAAAAAAATCAACATATTGATTCACTCATAAACTTGTTAGAACGCTGATTAAATAAATAAATTTTCTTTACATTAATTTTATTTTATAACAACTTCTATTCAACAAATTGAGACCGATCCAATTTATTGGTTTAAGTTAGCTTTTATAACATTGTGTGTGTAATGTTTTAAAAGTAATTATTATATTAATTAATAATTTTTCTATTATATGATCTTTAATGATTGATTAACAATATAATTTTTTTCATCAACATTTCAATGATCATCGGGGCCAGTCTATTGAGTTTATTATTGTCTAATAAGATTTTAAAAGACTTTTTTAGCTGTAAAAAGTCCTACGAGTTTTAAAAGACTTTGTAGAATTTTCATGACTATGAAAACTTTGCAGGATTCTAGAAAACTTTAAATTAGGATTTTAATGATTCTCTGAGACTTTGTAGATTTTCGTGGATTTTTGACATACAATCAGAGTTTAAGATTTTTTTTTCATATATTCAAATTTAAAAAGAATGAAAGACAAAAATAATTAAAAAAACAAAAATATCTGGATAAATAATAATAATAATAATAATTCTCCGTAATATTATATCCTCCTAAATAACACTCTCCCACTTATCCATAATTATACTAGTCTTCTAAGCATTAACATTACTCTTGCTCCTACGTTTGAATAATAGGCTCAAAATTATGATCTTCATTAACCAGTAATGTTGAAGATGAAGGTTTGTCCACCAGTTCAATTGAAAATTCATTAAAACAACATTTTTTACGAAGAAAGTTATTTAGTGTTGTTCATGCTATCACAAGTTCTACTTGTGTCTTAAATAAAAATGGAGGTGTTGACTTAAAAATTGTGAACCTTGATTTAAAAATAACAAATATTCTCTTGATCACATGCATTCCTTAAAGATGCGTTGTGACACCCTTACTACCCCAACACATATATAAAACTAACGAATAAATTTATTCAATTTTGGTAAAAGGGTTCACATAAAAACTTTTAAAAACATTCTTCAATATCCAAAATATTTTAAAAATGAAACTTGGAAAATATAACTTAAGAGGTTACAAAATGGTTTCAAAATAATAAGTACAACTCCATATACAAATAAAATTCATGTCCAAGAAATCCTCTGCCCTGATGTCACAATATTAGAGC